ATAAGGATATTACTTAGTATTGTGTGACTTCTATCTTCTCAATTGATACATTTATGATTTTTTAAAGACAGTTAGGCTTTATTTGTGTTATTGTTATTTAATACATGCCAATAATCCAAAAATTATTTTGCAAAATGATTTATGGATCTTTGACATGTTAATGTGAAAGTTCCAATCTTCAATTTTTGAGAAAGATTGGTCTTAAATCAAAAGGTAATAATATGCTTGGCTATTTAGTTCAACAATTTTCAATGCTGACGATTGAATGGTAAAAAACTTATTTATATTTAACAAAATTGTTCACTGTTGTTAAGAAAGATGTTATAAATTATTTTTTTGACAAACTAACTAAAGAAGTTTTATATATGCATTTGTATTACTTAGCTTGAATATTTAATTATTTTTATTACAGATTGACCTTTATTATTTTATTTATTTGATGTTCTGTATGCAGTTTTTAAACCACGTTAGTAATAAATAGTTTTTAATACAAAAATTACTGGCGTCTGTAGGTAAATTTTATTGGAGTTTATTTCTTTAAGAATTTTATATAAATATTTTGTTTATTTTATGTATACAATCGTCATTGTCTTTGTTACTATCAAAAGAGATTTGTTGCAGGAAAAGTCTTACAGTATAGTAGATTGAATTAACATGCATATCATCCCAACTAGAACAATACGTTGGGTAAACATCGGAACCGTTGTTTTGCAAGTATACTACGTTAACCCAACGTGATGTGCTAGCTGGGATCCCTAGAACAAGTTTCAAAGAACTTTTTTTGCGTGAAACCTAATAATATTGTTTTTAAATATCTTGTCAAATTTTAAACAAATTGGGTTTAATGAGTTTAAACGACTTGAAAAAAAAGAAGAGAAAACAAAATGTAAAGTTTCGAATCAAATTTTTTTTTGAACAGCTTCTAGATTTCAACCATTGAACACGTGTAAAAGAATAGCTTAAATAACTTATATGAGGTCGATAAGACATCTTCCAACGTTCCGATTTTCAGTTTTCAAAATGAATTTAAACCGAATTTTTGCTTTTTTACCGAATTTATAAAAAGTAACGAAAGCGAAACTTCGGTATCGATGGTTCGAAAAAACAGAATTTCGGTCGATCGCTACTCAATTAGATTCACATTTAGTTACTCTGACAAAAGACAGCCTATTTTAAAAATTTGGTCTGGGTTTTACAAAAAAAGCGAGACTAGGATTTGCTCACTAGAAAAAGGTGTCGACCGTACCGGTCTAATTACCGTACCGGTCTAAGTAAAGTATTTTAAAATGAGTAAAAATCTTTATAAAAAAGTATTAATTGCATCTTTTAAACAAAAAGTTTTTAAATATGCATAAGAAAAAGTCTACCATTATTTTATTATTTACATTCGTAAAACGATAATAGTGTGACAACAAATATAAGTGTAATATTTAATTAGCTTTACAGCTTCATTATAATTACGGATATTAATTATACTATTAATAAAAGCAATGAAAACATTTTCTCTATGCCTGCGATTAGATAGTTAAGGTAATAATGGATATCTATTTATTCTTGTCATAAAAAGAACTATCATTGCATTTTTGCAATGATAGTATTTATATGCAAATCCTTTGGATTGGGTCAGAACTCTAACTACTGCTCCACGGCTGCTTTAAAATTAATAAATTATAAAAATTAATTATTATAGACGTTCAATTAACGTACTAAAATCACGTCTTGGCGTGTTTTAAAGTAACCTTAGAAAGTTATTGAGACGCCTTTTATTTGACTTTTATTTATCAAAACATCTTTAACGTCGTAATGAAGCCATTTTATGACGTTCAGAACTATGCTAAATAGCAAATAAAATCAACGTCATTAAAATAATGGTTTTGAGACGTGCATAAGTCGTGTTTTCAGACGAATTAAAAAGTAAGGGATCGTCCATAAATTACGCAACGCTAAATTTCACTAATAAACAAAACAAAAAAGGTAAAAGGTTTTCGCTTGCAGAGCCTTAAGTTAAATAAAAAATTAAAACAACGCATAAGTATAATGGAAATTGCCGTGTAAAAGAGCTAAAGATCTCCTTTTTAAAAAAATTTAGTGTTGCGTTATTAATGGACAATCCCTAATTTAAAGCATGGGTGTTTTCAATTAGGGATCGTCCCTAAATAACGAATGAAAAAAAACCTCTACTTTCTATCAACTTTGACGGGTTATTAGTATATAGAAGAAGTTCTATCAGTTAGTATAAAAATGACATAGATTAAAGCACTTCTTGTGTCATTAAACACATGATTTGGTAAAAAAATACGTATTCCCTACATATATAAATATTCAGTTTTTTCTTTCTCCTGAATAATTTGCGAAAATAAAGTTACATCGTTTTTGCACCCAAGTCTTTAGTTGTTTGGTAACTTCATTTTATTTCCTTATGCTTATATTTTTACCCCATAGTATTTTTAAAAAATACCAACAACAATAAAAAACATCAAACCAAATAAACGTTTTAAAATATATATTTTCGATAATTTTAAAAAAATATTTATATATTAAACTTCTTGTTCTCCTCTTGTTCATTTTAAAGAAACGACTCTTCGAACAAATGACATCCTTTGCCCTCTTTTTATCCAGGTGCATGCTTTAGTCTATTTGCAATCACAACTTGACAGTCTTTTTTGGTGTAGTAATCAACTAAACAGTCTTAAACGTAAAATATTTTAAAAATAATATAAAGTATTCAAAACTTTATAAGAAAAAAAATTAACAATAAAAACCATAATAATAATAAAAGTCATAACAATAACCTTATAAGTGGCTCATAGGATAAGAAACACTAACAATCAAAACTTTGCTTTTTATTTTTTTAATCTTATTTGAAATTCAGTCTAGATTAAGAAAATATATTCATTTATGTATATTTTAAGTCAATTTTTTATGTAAAATTCATTTTTTTGATATACAGACTTTTAAGAATCTATAAGCAACACCTTTTTTTTTGAAATAAAACTTTAGCCAACACACCAGAGTTCAAAAATTTACAAATTGATTTTGTTTTTTAAGAAAGAGACAAGTTCAAAGTCAAGGCTTGACTTTGAACTTTTCTATTTTTGTCAAATCAATCTGTTGACAGTTTATATTTTGTGTTAATAAATGGTCATAGCATAAACATACAATAGCTTATGTATTATTATTTTTTTGTACCCAATAATGTTCCCTTTTGACTCAAGTCGAGCTTTTTGTCACAGGTTGGCATTTTTAATTTAAAGCAAGAATTTTTGCAATTGAAAAAAGTTAGAATTACATCCACTGGAGACTTTAAGATATTTCACAACAATGGGACGAAGAAATACATATGGCAACATTGATTAAAGAAAGCTTAAAAAACTTTGAAAAGAGAAACTTTTTTAACTGAAAAATGTTTTCACAGGCAGTGGAAAAACTTTTGAGATTATTTTCTCAAAAAGGTTAAAAGAAAGCTATAAAATAATACGTTTTGTTTATTCAATTCATGGACGCGACGAACCAACATTCCGTCTGAACGTTCATTGTACGTTTTTTGTACGTCCACGTGTTTGCTGGGCAACTTATCTCAATTTTCTTTTATTTAAAAATGGTATAGATAAATGGTATAGATAATTATAGAAAAATGGTATAGAATATAGAAAATTGGAAAATATCTTTAAACAATAAATAACCAACAATCAAAATTAATAATATCAAAATAACTAAAAAAAAGCAATTTTAATTAACCGAGTTAGTTTATAATATTTTATGCGCTAAATTTATATATAAATTTATTTACTAAAGACGTCCTTTATACGTTTTTGAGACAACTTCTTTCTGTGATAATTAGGACGTCTCTTAGGGACGTCTTTATATACATAATGAACTGTATAAAAAATGCTTTTGGAGAAATGAACCATTTTAATTAGCCAACATTTCCTCTTAGTTAAAGTTTAAAGGCAGTGAAATAATTTGTAGAATTTTACAATTGTTACTGTAAAAACAGTACGTAGACTTAAAGCTTGTTGATGAACCGTTTAAAAAATCTTAAAGGAAGAAGAAAAAAAAAATCTAAAAGGAAGCGACAATGCATTAAAATTAAAGGCTTGAAAGAATAAGTAAAATCGATTTATGGTTTTAACAATGACATATTAAGGGAAACATTATAATGCATTGAGTAATTCCGAAGCAACATTGGTTATTTTTTATAAAAATATACAGTTTAACTTTTTGTTCTGGAATTATTTCAACAATGCAATGTTACCTTTTAAATTAATTTTAATTTTTTTTTTCTTTTGTTTATCCCATCTTAAATTCGTAATAGGGAATAACAGGAAAATCTATTTATTCATCTTTTTCCATTTCCCATAATGTTTTTTTTTTTTAAATGCTGGCTTTTGATTAACTTATATGTGCTTTTTGTAAACAATACTTTTCTCAGATTTTTTACATTAATCATGTTATTAAGAATTACTCTTTTCAAAAAGGATAATATACCTCGCGAGCACTATTTATTTTCTTAGATAAATACATTTAGAGTAAGCCCCATATTCAAAAACGTGTGATTTCTGCTTTTGGTTTTTAGACAAAAAAGACTGTGTTCTGGAATTGTTTCTGAAAGTTTCACCTTTAGTTTTATAATATGAAAAAAAAACTTTGTGTACAATTGTCTCATAGTCTTTAAATATACGTTAAAAGTCAAAAAAAATCCGATAGTGACTTTCCTTATATTAAAGAAAAAAAGTTTGACCCATTTTAACTAAGAAACTACAAACACTCAGAAACAAAAGTTATATGTTTTCTTTACCTCTCTGTATTACTATTGATAAAATTGAGCGCGATAAAAAGTTATCGCTTTAGAGCCAAAAATATATTATCCTGATTTTCTTAGAAAAAGGGTCTTATAACGCAAGGATGAAATAAACATTTAAATTGCTTAATTTGTGCGAGCGTAACACCAATTAACAAAGGTTTTACTGAAAAATTGATCATAATTACAAAATAAATGATTTGGCTGACTAGTCATATATTGAGATTAAAATAAAGATAAAATTGTTTAAATTAAACTAATTAATATGAATTTTTTACAATCTTTTTCAGTTATTCTTAATTTTGAGAGGAAATTCGTAGGTTGTTGCGGTAAGTAAATACTGTAAACAAAAACAACTTCAACTCTGATCATAAATAAATCATAAATAAATTTTTTTAGGTTTTAACAACCAACTCGCTGTCATTAGAATAATAAACATGTTATTTTCTTGTTTGTTAATAGCGACTTTAAAATGTTGCAATTTCTTTAAACAATTAATTTAAATTAATGGCGTTCAAATGTTCTTGACGTAGTTAAATGTTTTGCTACTTTAAAAATCTCGGATATATAGGAATGGAACTTTTATTTGAACTCATCAAGCAAAAACAGTTCATTTAAATCATTAAGAACACGTTTTATTGCATTTGTTTTTAGTATTTTTTGTTTTTTTTTATATTCATTTTTCATTGTAGTTATACCATTCCATAAATAATCATATAGTTCTTTTTTTTCACTCCAAGGTATCCATTTGACATTTTCAGAAGTTTCTTTTTTCCAAGGGATTCCCTGTGTTGGTATAGTTGGATTTAACTGAGCAATATCGTTTTCTACTTTCCAATTGTTGTAATGTAAAGGAACTCCGTTAGTGTTGAAGGAATGTATATTAGTATCTGCTTTTTCCTTGTACTTCTTTGAAAAACGATTAAGTCGTGTGGTCGTTACTTTTCCTATGAAGCTTGGTTGCTTATTTTTTGGAATTTTATGCGAGAAATAATTTTTTAACAGAGAAATGAGTTTTGAAAGTGTTGATTGATCCTTAGCATGATCACTAGTAAATAACGGTGATAATTGATTTTCTTCTTGATACATACTAACTTTCTGATATGTATTTGCTGTAGCAGATAAAGCTTTGTTGTCTTGATTAATTTCAGTAACAAATTTGTTACCATAAGCTGTCTTGCCATTTCCATAACCCGCTCTGTCATAGTTTTTAAGCATTTCCTTCAGAATATCTATCGCTAGGATTGAAAAAATAAAACATTTATCAGCAGCAGTATTTATTTAAAAAGTATCGTTCAACATAAAACCATTTTAAAGGGTGAGTTAAACTAAAATTAAAAAATGATACAATTTTTTATTTTTATTTTTATCTCTATATTTTAATGTTATTTTGAGTACTTACGTGAATGGTCAAACACGCTCTTTTAACTGATCCGATGATCATTATTGTTTATTTTTTTAGATTTAAGAAATCGATTTTAAATCGGTTTACTTTTTTGTAATAAAGCAGTAATTATTTTCAGAGATTCAAATGTTTGCTAAAATATTATATTGTTTTATATTGTTTTTGCAGATCAAGAAGAACCAGGGAATAAAGAACTTGAAAAGGAATTTTTAACTATTGCCAACAAAAACACAAGTATTGGATTTTTGTTGTTTATGAAGGCAATTGGTATCCTGGGATTATAAACAAAGTACTTTATTTTTTTATTAACTTTAAAAGTTTCGATTATTTTACTTTGTTATCAAAATTTTAATAAATTTAAATTTAAATAATCTAACTGTTCAAAAAAATACTTTAAGTAAAGCAATTACTCTTATTAAGTAGTCAAGAATAGTTACATGGTAAACTGTATAAAAAATGCTTCTGGAAAAATAAACCATTTTAATAAGCCAACCTTTCCCTTTGTTAAAGTTCAAAGGCAGTGAAATAATTTTACAATCGTTACTGTAAAAACGTGCTGTTTTTACAGTAACGGTTGTAAATTTCAGTAATAAAACATCTTTTAACATAAATCCATTTTAAAGGGTAAATTAAACTAAAATTTAAAAATGCTTCATTAAGTTCATGCCTCTGTTCTTACTGTGGACATAGATTATACGCAGATCTTGCTGTGAATTCTGGATCTCTTGCTTCTAGAGAAAGTGCTCTAACTATTCCCAACGGGCATTTGTTTTTAAAAGTTACGTTCTAAATGTCTTTTAAACGTCTTTTAAACATTCTTACGTAAAGAAAAAACGTTTAAAAGTCATTTAGAACGTACCTTTTAAAAACAAATGCCCGTAGGGTTACGTTAAGACTGTTTTCTATTATTGAAGGTTATGGTTGCAAATTATTTTTACATTACTTTAAAAAATGAAGCAATTTGTATTCATGATTATAAATAGTCTTATTTTCTGTTATTCTATTCATATATCATATGAAAAGTAAAGATTTTATTGTAAATTCTATAAATACAGGGTGTCTTTGTATTTTGACAGCGTGTCGTTAATTTTTGATGCTTTATTAAATGTTCAAATTTGACAACTTTTTAATTAATTTTAAATACTATATTAATCATATACTTTGTCGCAATGCATCTTGGACTATATATTGCGAAAGCATAAGTGTAGTCTGTACGTGAGACAAGTTTTTCTTTTTTTTGATACTTAGTTAAATGTTTACATTTGACAAGTTTTTAATAAACTATAATTACTATGATAATCATAAACTTTTTCGCTAAGCATCTTGGACTACATATTGCGAAAGTATTAGTATTGCAAAAGTATCAGTGAGACATGTTTTGAATCATTCGATAATGCGGTAATTTTTATTTAAGACACTAAAACTTTATAATTTTTTTTATTATTGCGGTAATTTAGTAATTTTTTTGCATTTGATAAACATATTTTTAATCAAATAGAGAAATGGCAGGTTTGGTAGTGAACACATCAAGTTAAATTGCCCATCAATAATTACATTTTAAACATTGAACATTGTAGAGGCACATTAGGCCTAACAGTAGCACCGCGGAAGAGTATTAAATTTGGAAGTTCACGCCTTCTTCCTTAAGAATAAAGTATGAATATATGTCCAGAGTTTGTATAAAACGCTATATCTTTTGTTTTTTAATGCAAAAGCTGTTTTCGCCGCTGCTTTATTTGTAAAATACAATGTCATTTCAATTCATAGCACAGCAAACGGAAATGTTTCAAAAAAAAAATTAAAGAGACATCTGTTATAGCCGGTATTCCAATTAAAGAATGCGTATCAAAAACCTTTATTGTAAAATTAAAATTCACTTCCATTATTAGAAATGATTTGCTCGTCTGAGTACTTTGCTGGCACAAAATTAAATGGCAAAATCTTTTCGTTTCTCAATGGTGTCTTCGTAAGTAATTTGAATCGATTTGAAGAAATAGTGAAAATCATCGAATATTCTTTCGATAGTTGATTTTGATATCACAATCGTCTATCGCAAATTCTAAAAATATCTTACTAGCAATTCGGTTTAAGGAAGTTGTAAAAACCGAACTAACCCAAAACTTAACTTTGTTCTTTTGTTCTTATAAAAGCTTTGCTTTTGAAATGGAACTTCGACGATTTTCCAAAATTTGACCTGTTTTTGTAAATTGACAAATGGTTTCATAAACAGGCGTACTTTTATTGCCATGTAGTTGAGATTTTCTCTACTTATTGCCATAAATAATGTTTATAATTAATGCCATCGCCTATATAATTATGACATATAATTAATGCTATATAATTAATTTACAACTATGCCATATAACTAATGCTATTGCCTATAATTAATGCCATATAGTTAAGATTTTCTTGCGGTGACGTTTGGTTTTCATTTAATGAAATCATTTTTTTTCGATCAAAATTTAATACCGCATTATTTTTTCTCGGGATTTGAATTTTGCGGATATTAAAATTGATACAAAAATTTTTTTCTGTATATATAGCTTTTGAGAACTAATCATCTAATTAAAATATATACGACTAATTAATCATATTGAATTTCATGCATTCCATTGTTAAATCACATTTAGTCAACTTTGTTGACTAAATGTGATTTAAAAAAGGAATGCATGAAATTAATTTTATATGCAAACTTAAACACGTTGTTAAAACACAATGATACATGGTCAAATAAACTGATACACCCTTTATTATTTGAATTTCTTTTGACTATGTTTCAAAACGTTAAAAAAAACAATAAAATTTTTAAAATAAAATAGTCTAAAACACCTTTGCATTAAAACATCTTTTATATCAAACATCTTTTATATCAAGATGTTTTATATAAAACATCTTTTGTATCAACTTTTTTTTTTTAGTTTTCATCTACTTCAAACTCAATTATTTAAAAACATACCTATTTCTTGCCTTGTCAATTGCATTGCTGATGCTACCATTAGCATTTTAAATATAGATATTTTCTTCATCATTCCTATAAATATATGCTTTTGTATATAAACATGCATACCCAGTGGGCACGAACGTAAAAAATACGTCTTATATACGTTTTTGACGTCTTTTGAACGTCTTTTGAACGTTTTGGACGTCTTTTGAACGTCCAAAAGACGTCTTTTTTAAGTCCGGTCCCCACTGGGTAAATAAGTACATAAAGAACATAAGACACCAAATTAAAAAAATATCATAAAATGTTGGGAAGGTAGGTTAAAAGCGGAGGTACTTTTAGAGAGTCTATCAAAATTCGGGGAAAGGAAAGGAAGGAGACTCGAAATAAAAGCCTACGTACTTTATGGACAACCCCAATGGCATAATTAAAAAACAATTAAAAATTTTACTCTACAAAGAAAATATTTATTTAATTTTAGATATATAATAAATATTATATTTGCATGACTTCAAAAGAATATAATAATTCTTAACTCTAAATGAATTACTTTATAAACAGTTTTCTAATTATTGATCTCAAAAATAGAGTTTATAGAAATAGAGTTTATATATGTAAACGGTTTATAATGTAAATTTGGCTTTCTCGGCTCTACTTCACTTCTCAATGTAAATATTAATATTTAATTTGAGAAGTTTCTGGCCACCTCTGAGTTTACTAGATTAATAATGAACGTATTAAACTTTCCCAGCCGGCACAACTCAGAAAATAGTTACGCTTGGTTTCTGTTGCGTTTTTAAAACCTTCTAAAATAAAAGGAATAACACGTATCAAAAACGGTTTTTATTCCGTGAAATTAACTATTACTATTTACCATAAATACCAGTTAAAGTATTAATGGTTTCACAGTTATGGAAACGTAGTATCATATTGTAATGACTTTCCGTAAGGAATGTGAAACCAATGATAAAAACATGTGACATTTAAATTTTACTTTAAAACCGTATTAAACTCTAGTAAAACTACCGGTAATATACACGTGCTTTTGGTTTACGCCTGGATCGTGAAAAACACGTGCCTATATAGGTTTTATTTCCGAAAAAAAAACTAGATGTGCCGATAGGGTTATTAACACTATTATCAAATCTATTGTCACATAAATCTTTGACGTTAAATGTTTTAAACAAAAACTAAAGTTATACATAAATGTACTCACTATATCAACCAACTGTTCCGTAATCTAATAACTGTTCCGTAATCTAATAATGTCAAATTTGTAAATAAGTTATTAGATGATCTTATAACCACTGTAATCAACTTAAGTGAGTAGAAATATTGAAAATCTTTAATTTTTATAATGAAAAAGGTTATCGAAAGTTATTATTTATTTAAACTTTATTGTTGTTAATTAATCCCATTGAAGTTGCTTGGCTGTTCCGTGCCAACTAAACTCACTCTTTTTAAAGTTGATATCCGGTACACTCAGTGAAACGGCATGATTACACCACGCATTTTGTAAACATTTTTAAAATGTCAAGATTTGTTTTAAGTGTTTAGTAATTAGCTTATTGTGTTGGTAATAAAAATTTATGATTGTCACAATATGAACACGATAGACTGTGATACAAAAAAAAAAATTCTGACGACAGACAAATATATAATAATGAATTTACTTGATAACGACAATTTTTGAAATATTTTCTATGAATGAGAACTGTTTTTTGTTACTAATTAGTTAGAATTTTTTACTTAAAAATGTGCTTTAAGCTGTATTTGTTATAAATTTTAGATTCGCTAATATATATTTTAACAAACATTAAAATTTATTTAAAATTTTCTGATTACGATTTTTCAGTAAATAGACTATAGTATTAAATTAACACAAAAAACATTTACACACCATAAATCTTATTTTATTTAGTTGCTTTTTTAAAAAAGCGATAATTTTCATAATTACTAATGTTTTAGCGATATTTTTCAAAACATCTTATGTTTTTAAACGTATTAAGTTTCCTAATCGCTTCTTATCCGGATATTTTAACTCGGCTGCTATTAAGGAGCGTTTTAAAAATGAATAGATAAAATATAATATTTATTTTTTCTCTGAAATTTAGTATTTCTCTGAAGTTTAGTATATCCGGTTCTCAATTTAAGTTTTCAATCTCTATCTAAAGTTCTCAATCTAAATAAATTGGCTAAAATTATTTAATTGCGTAATAGTAATTTTAAATTAATAAATACTTAAAAGCAAGTATGTTTATTAATACGTCATTATTTTCACATATAAGTAACTTAATATTACGTAATAGTGATATATTCTAAATGTGTAGAGGCCGTATTTTCGCTTTTTATTTATTTATAGTTTTTCCATAAGTTATTGATCAATTGTTTACTTTTTTCAGGAATTGAATCACAAAATTTTTCCTGACCGAAACCGAAAATTATTTTAATATAATTTATGTAAACTTTTTTCATAGTAAAGCTTGATTTCAGAATCTGAATTCAAAATGAGTATTTGAAAAAAAATACATCTAAATAATATTCATGATTAAAATTTAAGTTGACGTCACTTTGTTTATTTCTAACGGTCGTAATCTCTCTGTGAAACTTAATAAAATATTATTTAAAAATTTAACAACTTATTGAAACTTAACAAAATATTATTAAAAAAATTAGCAACTTATTGAAACTTAACAAAATATTATTTAAAAAATGCTTCAAAGACCTTTAAATAGTCGTAAACTCGTCCTTTAGTTTACGTCACTTATTCTATAGAAAAATAATACAAGAATAATGGATTTTTTTATCATCAATGAGCCTGGAATTTTTCTTAGATTTTTATTGCTTTTAATAAGTCATTGTTATTTGACAATTCACGGACATTTCTCTCATTAGAAAGTATAACTTCCGTTACTAAACTTTAAGACATTGACATCTTGTAAAAAAAAGGTTCTCGTAAAATTTGTTATCAAACTTGATAATTGTTGTTACTCCATTAGTGATGGAACAAACTAAACAACCACCTAAATATAATCTAAATTCTGCAATATTTTCTGAGAATTTATAATCTAAACTCTGCAATATTTTCTGCAATATTTTGCTGTTTGTTTGTTTTTTTTTAGCTGAAAGGGACCCCAGAAATAGGTTTAAGTCCAAAACTTTAGTTTATTTTTTTAGTAAATGTTCAGTTTTATATAAATCTCCTGTTTTATAAAAAAAATTTTTTTTTTTTTGAAATATTTTAGTTTACCATCAAAACAAAAACAACTTTGACAGTGTTTCCCATTTTAGGCTCATATGGGTTATTCTCTCAGGTAACCTGTATGGGTCCCAACAAAATGTTGTCTTTTAAAACTGTAAGTGTTCCATATATATTTAGAGCTAAAACGTACTTGAGAAATCCTCCTGAAACCCGCTGGATTTTGGATGTGGTTTACATGCTGAATCATAAGGCTTAACTCGTATGAGAACCAATGCAAATGTTGCAAAACTTCTTTTAAGTTGCTAATAATATAAAGGAGAAATTATAAAAGTTCATTTGCTTATTTTGATAAATAACCATTAAAATTACATTGTTATAGGAAAACTTATCGCACAACTTTTAATCGATGTATTGTTTCTTGTTGCATCAGCCCCCGTGAAATAAGTCCTCTTTATATTCATCACAGTAAGCAGGCAATCAACCAGTACACTTATAAAGAGATACTAGAAAAACTTTACTTCCTCCAGTATCAGAATATTATAAAAAAGACAATGAGTTTATTTTCTGGTCTGCTCTAGCTCGATCACATTACGCAAAGTTGGTCATCGACTTTTTAAAATTGAAAAAAATCAAAGTTGTACCCAAAGATATAAACCCAGCTAACACTCGAGAAACAAGACCAATTGAAAACTTTTGGGGTGATTTAAAACGGCTTGTGTACAAGAATAATTGGATGAGCTTGAAGCAAGAATTAGATATTGCTATTCAAAGATGAATAAAGAAATTTTCCTTACTCAAATAAAACATCTTTTAAAAAAACTTTATAATATTGCTAAATATCGTATTTAAAATCATTATTTTAATATATTTATAAACTACATATACTAACATATTAACAGTAAAAATATTAAATAATAAAACTTATTAGTTCTTAAAATATTAATTTTTAAATCTTGTCCAAAATTTTATTTATTAGGTGTTATATTAAAAATAGAAAAAAGTTACTGAAAAATGCAAAATAAATAAAATGCAATATCTTATTATAGTTAATTATGTCATAATTGATCGATATCGATATTAGTGGATGTTCTCTTTAATCAGTCAGATAAATGCCTAAATACTCTCCCAATAAGTTACTTATTATATATATTTCTTAATATTACATAAATAGATGACATTTATAATTAAACATTTTCCGTTAAGTAGTACATATATAAAATGAAATTATAAAACAAATTATGATTTTTTTTGATGATTTTAAATACTGAATAATAGCTAATGTATTCATGGATTTGAATTTCATTCGGACTATCTTCGATGTTTGCAAGTTCATCCAACTCAGCCATATTTGTTTTTAAGCAGCGGTATTTATTTTTTTATTGTAACCATATACATATAAGAATATGTAAATGGGGCCCAATTGGTTTTAGCAAAATCTGAATTCTTTAGTTTTAAAATTTATCAAATTCTTTAAATCATATTGCTCTAACGTGCATTGCCGACAGATTAAATTATGTCCGCTTAACGGAAAATGTTTAATTAAAAATGTTATCTATTTATTAATGTTAAGACAAACCCGCAAGATGAAGGTAGCTATTACATTGGATTTACAAAAAAAACTTTTAAAGATCGCTTTTACAAGCATAAAATTTTTTTTGTTATGAAAGTGGGTCAAACTCTACCGATCTTTCTAAATTTGAGTGGAGTGTAAAAAAAAGGTTTAAATCATGTTCTTTCGTGGAAAATTTTAGACCAGGTCAAACCGTTTAAACCTGGTAGTAAGTCATGCAATTTATACTTGATGGAAAAATTTCATATAATCTCATTCTCTTTGCCTTTTCTAAATAAGCGAAACGAACTTGCGTCTAAGGGGCTTATTACATGAGTCAAATTCAGCTCGGGCTACGATTCAGCCCGCTCACTCGGACTGAATTTTGATATTGATGACAAAATTTTAATGTTAATACAGAATTTGTTAAAATTTAAATCTCAAATGGAATATAATAACAAGGATTTCAATGCTGACAAACCAAACCAATATGAAAGTATTAGGAAAGCTTTAGCTAATATTTACTTTCACTAGCCAAATTGGTTTGGGCCTGTTAGTCCAAATGAAAATGTGTTATCTGAACAAAATTGATAATTTGATTTATTTGATCTCTTATTTAAAAAGGTTATACCAGAGTTAAAAAAAAAAATCGATGAAATTCGTCAGAATTTTTCATTAGCTGTTATATCAGGTCAAAAGAGTGAACGTGGTAAAATAGTACTTAAATTTTATGACCATCTTGTTCATATATTGGATGGATCTCCTTCTATAGAACCATTATCTTTTGGGAAATCAACTTATGATATTAATAAAGAAATTTTTTATAATAATAAAAATATAGAAGATGTATCAATTGCTTCAGTTAGCACTGAAGGCAACATGGTTGATAATACAGAAGATGTAAATATATGTTCTTGTTTATCTAGTGTTGAAGACAATAATGTAGTTGATTTCTCTTTGTTATTACATACCACAGATAATGTATCTGTTGAAAATTATTTATTAACTAAAAAAAAGAAACGTAAAAATGACAACAACAAAATTATTCCAAAATTTTATTGCAAAAGAACAAAACAAGTATAAATAACAGTAGGAACTGTTTCTATCTTTATATCGCCTAAAAATCCCCATTTTGCTTTTAATCTACCAAATGCACATTCCACCAGATTTCTTGCAGACCGTAACATGTTGTTAAATAGAACTTCCTCGTTATTCGTAAAATTTGAAATTTGTTAATGGGTATGCCAACCAAGTAGTTAGGAATTGAATGATAGCCATTTAAACTGTACAATGTTTGTGGTAATATCCCATTGATTAATTTTTTATTAATAGTAGAATTTGTAAACATCTTTGCATCATGTACAGATCCCGGCCATTTGTATTCAACATTGATAAAGTATCCTTTACTATCGCATACATTTAATGAAAAATATTGCTTAAAACAAAAATAGTCTTGAACATTTTTTATAGGACGTTTTAGTTGAACATGAATGCCATAAATGCATCCAAAGGCTTGTATCATACCAAACTTTACTTCAAACTGGGAAACAATTTTTTGACATATCCTCCTTATTTTTAGGTAGATGTAAATATTTAGGCCAAACAATATTATTGCACACAGCTTTTATAGTTTTTGAAACAGTACATTGATGAATGCCAAAAGTATTTGCTGCCATCCAGAGAGAGCCAGTATCTTTTAAGTAATACATGGTAATTGCTAG